ACGTATGATAAGAATAGGTGAAAATGAATATGAGGATATATGAGAAAACACACGAGTGTATCTCTAAAACGCTTAGGATTTAAGCTTTAAAAAAACAGCTAACTTCATTTTTAAAAACGATATCTTTTGGATCTAATTTGCTGATTTCATTCCTTCTTTGTGTAAATGCATATATTGAATTTTGATTGTTTCCTTAACAGCACAAAAGATGAATCGTGGAAGAAATAAGAGAGAAGATTTAGTGCAATTAATAGTTACTGGGTTAAAAAAATGTGTAAATACATTTCATATGAACACACGTTCCCCCTTTTGTGATATTCGCACGCATGGAAGAATAAAGACAGTAATAACATTTAGAATAATAGTGACAATGGTAATCAGGGAACAACTATGGTCATTATCAAACCACATCAAGAAAATACAGCCTCGATTTACGATGCCTTATTGCACGTGTACCCTCTTTTCTACTATTTTTTTTTGGCCTACATTGTCTCTTAAATAGGAAAAAAAGGAGAGCTAAGAAAGACCTGCAACAAGGAAAAGTTAAGGTTACTTTTACGATAAAAATAAGACAAAAAACACTGTGAAACTGGAAATTAAGGGAATTAATTGTGAGGAAGGGTTGTTCCTAGGAAAAGGTATGTCAAAGGTTCAGCTGCAGAATCTGATGGTAGGGAACCCTGCCTAACTCATTGCCATCTATCCCCTTCCTTCCCCATGCACATTTCATACATGCCTTTCCCTCGAAAGGACTTAGTTTTTCTTACACTGATTGCTGAATTTTATACAATTTATCAAGTCTTGATTTTTTATTTATTTACTCTACATTTTCTTTGTCTCTTACGCAGCTGGGGATCAAAAGAAAAAAGAATTACTTTTATTAGACGTGCTCAACCCTGTGATTCAGTCTCGAATAGTCTGTTCTCTGTCTAAATACCTCCTCCCGTTGTCAAAAAGCGCAAAACATAAGCTTCTGATTATATTATTATTATTCCTATATTATGGAGAGGAGAAGCTCTCTCTACTCTTCTCTTGGGAAACATCATAATCTAAAAGAAAAAATCTCACAAAAAAAATGCTAATAATTACTTTTCTCTTATCTATTATTTGTCATAAATGTATATATATATAGAGAGATAGGTATATATATATATAGATTCGTGTATACAGCCCATTAAAAAAATCATCTTAATCGGTTACACGTTGTTTTTAAGGTTAATCGATGTACGGTTTTATTTAATCATTTCCTTCACCATTATTCTACCTATTTTGCTGACGCATCACTGTTATATGTATTTTTTTAATATAGTTTAAAAGTTCTTCTCCATTCCATCGGAAAAAATTCCTCAAACACGTGATTTTTTAATAAAATAATATAACAATAAAAAAAAACAATTCAATGTCTAAAGGTCCCCCTTGACTTACCAAAGAAAAACAAAAATTTATGAACAAAGAAGAAAAAAGCAACAACGAATGCACGAATGTATGCAAAGCGTGAAAAGTGATATAGGCTGTAGTGGTGGTGTATATCACCACAGTTAAGAGAAATGCAAAGGAAAAGAAATAAAAAGAGAAAAGGTGAAATTTCTACACGCAGTTACTTTATACACTTGAAAATCACTTGTGTTCGTCTTCGTTCGAGTCTCTTACTTATTTTTGTTTAATTGTTATTCCGACCCGCCTCTTAATGTTCTCTTCCCTTAAAAGTCGTCCATTCTGCTCCAGTGCTTAGAAATCATTTGAACTGACGAATCCAAAGGCCACTCTGTCAAGTCTTAGCGCGGTCTGTCGTACCAGCACATCTGCCGCCGTCAGTACATCGTCAGGGAACACGACCTCGCGCTGCAAAGTTCGGATCGTCTTGTAGGCCATGTGCCAAAAGCCAAATAACGCCATCAGGTCGTTGCGCAGCGAAAAGCACTCCGGGAAGGTATTCTCAAGCTCCACGAGGCCGTCCTCAGGGTGCGTCATGGCGTACAGCATCACGTGCCCTGCCCCGAATTCGATGGGCAGGCCGAAGGGCAACCGCTCCAGAACGTCGTTGATGTCAGACAGCGGCATATACGTACGTCTGGTGCAGAAAGTGGCAATGGTGATGGCTTCCATCAGCTCGCGCAGGGTACGCGCCATGAGGCGGCTGATCGCCCCGAAGGCCGCCATCTCTGGATCGAACGGGCCCGTCCAGGTCCCGTTGACGTTGATGGGAACTAAGGAAAGCAGGCGGCACGCGAAGCGAACCCCGATGGGATATTTGGCCTCCATGTTGGTGCTCGTCGGTGTGATGTAGATCGGCATATCGTTGAGAGTCTTGGTACGCAACATCTCGATCATCAACAGGGCGTATTCGCTCAGTGTATTGCAGGTCACAAAGGCGAGGGCCTCGCTGCACATGGACAGTTGACTTTCCACTGGCAACTCCGGCGGGGTCGTAATGAAGTGCGTAAAGTAACCTAACTGGTCCATCGTCTTGAGCAGGATCGATGCGGTTGTTTCGGCGATATTGGTGTATATCGGCATCTGCTCTTCATCACGGTAGGGAACCGACCGATTCACCATCTTCATGACATCCAAGAAGTACTGCTGCGGGGCCACGAGCAACCACGGTTCACCGACGATATCCCACTCCTCCAGCTCCATGTAGCGTGGCATGTGAATATCTGTCCACTTCTCGTTCTGTAGGGCGGGGTTGCGGTTTTGCATGAACACCCTATACCACGTCGAGGGAGGTTGGAGGTTGCTAGCGACCTGAATCACGTGCAGGCAGCTATGTACGCGCAGCGTAAGCACGGAACGCAGGGCCTGGCGGTAGGCAGCGGAATCGATGAGCGGCCAGCGGTCGGCCAAGATACCCTGGGCGACGGGCGTGAACAGGTTAGGAGAGACAACCCCGCTAAAGAGACAGAAATAGAGCGCCGTCGGTAGCGGCGTCCCAAACGCACGCGCGACCCGCAGACTGCTATAGGGCGAGATGCCATATATCACGTAAAGCGGTTCCACCTTCCCCTCGCATGTGAACACAGGGGCATCGAGCAGCGAAAAATTACCCTGCATCAGTTGGGTTGGCTCGACATTATCGTCCTTCGTGAAGCCCTTCGCGAAGGCGTACCCACGACCACGGCCGTTGGGCAACACCTCGGATGACGCAAGGCGTAACAAGATCTCGTTGCTGTCGGGTCCCAAAAAGCTCAGCCGGTACGGCGAACGCGTGGTATCGGCCATGATCCAGTACCCCAAGTCCCGCTCCGTGAGAGGTGGGTATTGTTTGTGGGGTGGCGTTAAGGACCGCAGGTGAGCATTGACGGCATCCAGCACCTCGCGCTTCTCCACTACGTCGAACGTGCCGTCGATCGGGTCGACATGGACGATAACCCGATCCACCCCGGGGTAGGCGAGAAGCTCAATGCTACCGTACACCTCCGAAATGTAGCGATTGGTAGGGGAAAAGAACGCCGAGAGCTGGGCCCAGGCGTAGTAAGGAACACGGAACACATCCTTCTTGAAAACCGTCACGCAGCGACGAACGAAGTACTGCTCCAGGTCACTATCTAGGTAAAAGCGCTCGGCAACCACCTGTCGGATGTGATTCGGCACCTGGGAGACCGGCGTTGCACCCGTGTACGACATCATCTCGTGAGGGGTGGAGGGATGGGGGCCGTGCGCCGGATCCAATTGCGGGGAAAGCGGGATTCCATCGAAGACCAAGACGGGCTGAAAGTTTAGCGTGCTATTCGCCACGGGGATCGAAGATGACGACGGGGACCCATCGGATCTAACAGCGGCGGCGCCAGATGCACCCTCGGAGGGGTAACCGCCTCCTGACAACTCGCCCACCCCGTTTACCGGGGCGCCGTCCTCGGGCTCCTCCATCCGCGGCAGCTTCGCCACCGCCTCCCTAAGTTGCTCGAATTCGTCGACGATAGCCTGGAGCTCGTCGTAGAAGGTCACCGGGGTGGTCACAGTGAACATCGCCATCGGGTCGACGCGGCGGATCGCCTGGGTGACGCGCCGCAGGAGCATATTCCCATCCACGCCCATCTTCACCGTGTTCGTGCCGGGCAGCCGCCGCAGCTCGCGAATCGGCCGTCGGCGGCGGAGAAGGTTGTGCGTGGCGATGAGACGCTCGAGGCCGGTCTCCTCGCGAATGGGTGCCGGGCCCGAGCCCAGCGGGGACCCCCCGCCCGTGTTCGGGCCCCCCGGGGCGTGGTTCGTCTGGATCGAACTTCCAGACAAGCTAGGGGGGCTGGTGAACTGGGAGTTGTTGTTCGCTGCGGAGACGGTCCGTGGTTTGGGGGGTTGAAATGGGACCTGCCCTGCCGGCGGAGCGCTGTTGTTAAGGGTGGTCGGTGAGCCTCGGTTGCTACCCATGGGGGTGTTGTAGGCGTTCTGGGCATTCGCTGCGGCAGTTAAGCCCCGTGGTGGGGGCACCTGAACCCCAAGTCCATTTCCATTGCCCCCACCACCAGCATTAAGGTGTGTCGGACTCGTGTAGTGGTTGGAAGAGTTAACGCCGCGAAAGGACGCATAGTGGCCATTCATGTTGGTGTTTCCATTACTTGTATTAAAGCGAGGGCTATTATCTGCTGTGAGATTCATATCAGAGGCTACTTTAGGAAAGGGCGAAGACTTTGGCGATGAAACCTGCTGCCTCAATGAGGCCTGAGAAGACGGTGGGGATTGTGTTTGCTGTTGCTTTTGCTTGGTGTAATTCGTCCTGTGGACGATGTTGTTGGTGCTGCTGCTTTGATTCCCTCTACCGAACATCGCCTGCGGAATTTAAGCAAACGATTAGTCTTTAATCTTTTCCCTACGGTTTTTATTTTTCCCAAGCTGCAGTATCCTGATATGATAAGCAATACAAGTAATATTAATAGAAAGAGGAAAATAAAAAGTTAAAAAATGGATAAAACTCAGAAAAATTAATAATATTTACTTATATTTTTTACTCCTAGAAGTAAAGATGTAGCTTCACCTACTTGCCCTTTTCCTTTCCTCGTGTGCTTCTTTCTTTTGACGATAAAACGATAGTAAGAAAACAATCAATGCTACTTCCTTTCGTTATGCCTAACTCCCGTTTTTTGTGTATAACAGCAAATACAAATAATAAAAATACTGTTTAACAAGCCCAATATATCAAAAGGGAAAAATAGGAGAACAGAAAATATATCCCTTTTATGATATATAATATTCTATTTTTTTCCTTGAAGCGGGAGGAAGATAGAAATAGAGAGCTTTGTGTGCGTAGGGAAATGTTGAAGAGAGATAAGAAAGCTAAAAAAAAAATGAATAGTAGTAATGAGTGGTGACTGTTAACACGCTAGAGAACGAATTTGGAAAATGAATACGTCCCTGATTCTATAAGCCAAATCTCTCTTTAAAAAAATTGATGATTTAAAAAAAGAAGATAAAAGGCGAAGAAAAAGATGAGAAAAGAACTTCTGCTTTGAATACGAACTTTGTGGGTCCTATATTCCTTTTTCCTTTGTTCCCTTTTTGCTTATCCAGGGAAGCGGGGACTTTTTTGTGGCAGTATTTGAGCTTTAATTATTTACCACGAACAATTATTGCCTTTATATAGAATGTCGAGTTTTTCTTAGTAGCAGCACCTTATACAGTATTTACTTTTCGCTTATATCTGCTATTGACACTTCACTTAAGGGTACAACGCTTCAAGAAGAAAAATTTTCTTAATATGTAAGTGTCTCTTCTATATTATTAAAATAAAATTAGATGGTTATAATAAAAAAAAAATAAAATAATTTGATTTTGTATACGAATTTGTAAACCTAAGTGATTCCTCACTTGTTAGAGAGCAAACTATGCAACTAGTAGCTTTGAAAGAGGAAAGGACCAATGAAAGCCACAGTTTTTTATTCATAGAAATAAAAAGTGTCCAGATGAGTTTAAAATAAAATCATCGATATTTATTTCCTGTTTGTATGCAGTTCTCATGTAAATATGCATATATGTTTATCTATGATTGACAAGAGAACAAGCAGTTTAAAAAATGTGAAAACCTCCATCAGATTGAAAGATGAAGAATAAGCAGAAAATATCATTTAGCACGTTTCACTATTGATAAAAGTAATGGGCATAGCTTTCGGCTAGCGATCGCATAATTTCACTCCGACTTCGCTTCCCGAGCGGCGAAGCCGACCGTGGCATAGGCACCGGTTTGCGGAACCTCCGTGGAGAACTCGACACCGCTTCTGGAAGTAAATCCACTCCTCCGCACTGGGGGCTCCGCGTATGGATCTCCGTGGGATCCGGACCCATACACCCCTCTGTGCCATGGGCTGCCCTAGGCCTATCCGTAGCGGTCGGAGTCGCGTAGGGAATAAGATGTAGTTCCATCACTTCAATGATCTGGACCGCGTAGCCTCGCATCACCGAGAGCGTCTCCGACTGCGCCGCTGTCCAGTCGAGGCCGTTGTGGGCGTTTTGCATGGTCTGAAATACTGGATTCGGCCGCACGCTGGAGCCGCGGCTGACAGCCACCGTGGAGTGGTTCTCAGTATCGTAGAGGTAGGACGCGTCATGGCCGACGACGAGGAAGCCCTCCACCCACCTCCGCTGCTTTTTGGTGCCTCCGGGCTGTGAGAAAAGGACGCGGAAGCGGGACACGCCTTTGGGTTTAGAGAGCTCATTTTCGAGCATCGCAAAATCACTGAGAACGACGAATGGACACAGGGAACGTCTCTTATTTCCCACTTCTCTTGCGGAAGGAAAAAAAGGATAGAAAGAGATCCGTGAAAGTTGGTGGAACCCCTCCGAAGGTAAATAAATGCTAGATAAGCTAAAAGTTGAAGTACTCGGTTGCCTGTTAATTCTCCGCTCCCATGACTCCTTAAATATGTGTACAAAAATAGCAGCAATAATCATCCCCCAGGCAATCTAAAACACGTTATAATGGTTGGTGCTCAAATAAAACGCGACAACAGTTCAAACATAGTCCAAAAGTAAGATTCCGCTGAGAACGAAACACTACAGCGTCCCATCCTCCTCTCCTTTCCTCAGTCGTCACACATTTCACAATTCTGATGGAGAAGCAAACCCTCATCCGACTCTTTGCCACAACAGAAGGAGTAGTCCTGGCGGATGTAATGTTGGGATCGAATAGCTTCGAAAACGGCAACGTTCAAATCCCCCCATCGGATTATGTTGACTTGTTGAAAACCTCCACAGCAGCCTACAGGCATTCCCAAAATCAAATGCATCATACCCTTTATACGCATAAATATTGCGCTTCCTTTTTTCTTAATTCACCCTTCGCAGCGTGGATTACTCCAGGTTAAATGGCGTATATGGCTGAAACTCTTCAAGCAATGTTGCAACCGAAAGCTCTTCACTTCAAAACTCCTACTATACAATTAGCCAGCAAACCTCCTCTAGGATACGGCAAGGCATACGCTTGTGCAAATAGCTTCGGAAAGACTCTGGGGTCTTCGGTTGGGAATCCTTTTCTTCATAGGCATCGGCAAGTGTCGTCACGCGCAACCACATCTATTAAATGAATCACAAAAAGGGGTGCTCTCGTCAAGAGAGCATGTGGTCGAGGGTTCAAACCAAGAGCTATTCTTGGAAGGGGAAATGGAGAGAAACAGCGCACAGGTTAGAGAAGGGTGAAAGGGCCTCGGCCAGTGTTCCAGAACATACCCAACTCAACCAGTGAGAGGAAGTATAATGGTCGAACCCATTAACTACAGAAAGCATCGAAACCAGGGGGTCCGGCGTACTGGAAGAAATTGGAAAAGTTGCATGGAAAACGCCCACGTGCCTGCCTGGTTGAGCACGCCGCGATTCCTTCGTCTTCCAGGTGCTTGCTTGATGAAATGGAGAGGAAATGTCAAACCTGAATCCTGCGAGTCATGTAGCCGCGTGAGGCAGTAGCGTAGGACAGTGTCCACACTGCTAACACACGCATGGGATGCGTCGAGTATGCTCATCAAGCAAGCTCTCCTTCTCCCCTCTTCCACTCCTTCAGGCAGGACTCTCTGCCTGCTGCGGTCGTTGGAATCTAACTCACGAAAAGATAATCTCGGAGACTTGAACTCACCCCTAAACTCGGAATGCTAAAATTTTAGGAGCATGATAAGGTGGATGGGTTCACCAATGTCAATGGGGGACTCACTTTCGGTTTAGTACAAATCATATGCGAAAAAAAAAGCGCGGAAAAAGTCACGTTTGACGATAGATCGTATGAGCTTCTCAACATCAACATTCACATTACTTTGTCATTATTTTATGAGCTCAAAAAGAGTGATACTCAGTATACAAAAAAAGATAAGAAAATTCAACAACTAAACCAACAAAAGTTAAGCATGTCAAGCAAACTCCTATTATTTGTCCTCCGAATCGTACATCATCAACGTCGAGTCGAAATACTGATTATAAAAAGAGACGCTATGTTTCTACACGAGTATTCATTCGCTCATAGGTTCGAGAATTTTATAATTGCGCCTCAATTTATCAAATGTATTCATCCTATATTATATATATTTTATTTTTCTACTTATTTTTAGACTTGCAACATAATGGGGGGCTAAATAGAATAAAATCTTAACGCCTATATTAACTTGGTATAATAAATCTTTTACCTTTGTCCATAACTATAGCCGAAGATAAGATCCATTTACACTTACTCATTACGTTATCCATATTCTATAGCCGAAACAACACAAGTTAATGATAAGAAGTGTATACAGGGAAGAAAGAACGAAAAAAAAAGTACACAGCAAAAAGAGTAAATTTAAAGAAAGAAAACATGGTTATATAAGGCAATTTCAGGCCCACCGCAAAGCCAAAGAAAGTATATAATTATGTATTGATTAGCTTAGAAAAAATGGAGTGAAAATATCTATGCACACTTATTCATGACCGTTTCAAGTCCGTTCACCTTAACATTCAAGGCATCCTTTTCGGGGACAAAAACCACCTTAACTTTTGCATGGTTCCTTTCCGCTTGCTTCCCCATGCAGGTGGTTCCGTTCCGTACATCGGGTACGTCCACAACGCGATTTACAGGATCATACGTATACGCTACAGCCGGGCAGTTAGTTACCTCTCCAAACTCAAACAAGTAAAAATCAAGAACCCCACTAGCGGTGTGGAATGTGATACGAGATTCTACGAGATGATTACCATACTTCACGCAATAGGCTCCATCAGGCCCACCCACCCCATCTCCCTCTACAACATGAATTGCAAATACGCTGGACTGGGACTGGAGCAGTAGCAAAAAGCAAATGGTAAACACAATCAGGATGGAAGGCCTATGGTGAATACCACGTAATGGCATACCATGATTCAAATTGTTAAATAAGCCCATATTTTATTCGCACTTTTTCTATATCGACTTAACAGAGTTTAGTACTTGGTAATTTTCTCGTCTATAAAGTATAAGGTTGTTCCTTTAAGAAGAATTACAATAACAATATAAACCACTTTTTATATAAATAAAAGTAAAGAATCAAAAGTCTACTATGTATGCATATGAGATTCTTCTCTTTAGTGGGGACAAAAATACAAACCAGAACATAACTACAGGGAATGTTATTTCCTTCATGCATTTATCCGATTTAGTGTCGGTTTTTGTTAGTTTCGTTACCCTCAAAGACCTCACTCTTACAAAATATGTACCGTATAATGAGCTTAAGGAAAGAAAATTGAAATCGTTAATTTCAATAAAATAGCTAAATCGGATTAAGAAAAACGAATTAATTCTTATTTCAGACGAATCAACTAACTGATATAATTTCTTCATAATTGAGATTTCAATATACTCAAAAGAAGGAAGTGAGGAAATTTGCATGAAAAATCTAAGTTTCCTCTCAGGAAGGCGGAAAATAATGATACTTTCAAAAAAATATTTAGTGCTATACGCAGGATAGCCACCTAGTGAATCCTGTAGCTGCTGATTTTTTTTCTTGACGAATGACATTGATTTGCATATCAAATCCATGCTCTCATATGCACTCTATTCAACAACAAACATCTACTATTATTGATGCCATAAATACACTTGTTTGCATGTATTTGTATAATTTAATGGTACTATACGAAGTTCTCAAGTATAGGTGTATATTTAAATATGCTTGAAAAATTACAAAACGGCTCTCAATACTGGACACACTTGCGAGGATACCGTATTGGAATATATTGAAAATCTACATTTCCAGATAAGCAGTTAACTCTATATTGATAGAAGAATTGGTTTATATTAGCGTAAATAACGAGTGTGCGCTTTTGTTAATCAATAGATAGCACAACATAATTCAAGGACAATTTCTGAACTGCATAACATACTCCCGGGGGAAACGTAAAGTCTGCCTCAAAAGTGGAACTGAAAATAGACAAAGGTTTATTTGTTTATATTCTGATTGACTTTATGTTGAAAACACATAAAGAAAAATGAATCATAATTATTTACTGAACGGCAATGTAATTATTATAGTACGCTTTTTATGCAATCCTTCATTCGATTTGATGAAATATTGAAAAATATTCTAATTTTCATTCGTACTAGAATTAGGAAGGCTTATTTTACCATATCGCTGTTTTTGTGAAGGGGATAAGCCTATCTATAAATGCTACAGAAGAACGCAGATTGATAGGAATCCTGTTTCAGAAGTCGCTTTGAACCATTATGTTAAACAGTAGGATTAAAAGAAAACACTAGGATTGGAGATGACATATCTATCCTCCATCGTCTATATTGAATATGACTCGTGGACTAATCTACCGAATTATTACCAGACTAAATGGTCAAATTCTTCACCTTCCACAATTTATTTATTTATAGGCGTTCCTATAGAAACATAAAATAAGATGAAAGTCCTCTAAAAGATGATTATATTGATACTTTTCGATGAACATAGAATGAACATTAATTGTATTGCAGATATGTGAGTACAACTTTAGTCAACAGAAAAAGCTTCGCATACCTGACTTATTAATGACAAATATTAAATACTATGTCTTCCTAGTCCCTTTACGAGCGTTAAAAACTAGATTGCTAAATTATACAATTAAATCTTCAATATTTTCGAAGATAAAACACAAGAGTTAGTTTCCTCCATGCAGCATTGCTCAGTAATTGTCTGTGGCGGAGAATTATATCTCAGTCTTTAAACTACCACTGTATCGCTTTGTATGAATATAAGCGATGCATCGGTAATCACATTCATTGAATTGCACCTGCTGGAAGTGGTGAAGTATCACATATTTCGTAGTACCAACGGTTGTAAAGCTTTGAATATAATAATTATATTGTTTGGTTATTACTTTGGAGTTCTATTCTCATTCGTGTTTATGTTTTAATACAGTCTGATTTAACAAAATCAACTATTGCCTTCATGAATAAATTCAGAAGAACAATTCTTTTTGTTGGGAGAAATGAAAACTATTGGGTACTAATTATTTGCTTTATTCAGATACATCCTTTTATGTACAGCATTGCTTGCCCATACAAGACTCTTACGGTATGTCACACTATAATTCATACTAAGCCTTTAGGACACAATTAGTAATGTTCACTTAGAATTCTGGCAATATTCCTTTAAGTGATGCATAAGAACCACTCTAACTTTGTGCTTTAAAACACAAGTTATCAACAAACTAAGAGAAAAAAACAAATTTCATGAATCTAATTACAATGACAATAATAGAATAACTTTGGATCATAACTGCTTCTTTTGTTAGTTTTGAGTCAAGGTGTTACTATGAGTACATAGGGAAAAAAGACATGAGTCCCTCCTAAGAACATCAAAAATAATTTTAGGGCACTAGTACCAGATGACAAGTTTATAACTGCTTTTGAGTCCTTATTAGGACAGGCAAAAATAAAAAGCCCTGAAAATCTCATTATATACATCTATATTTATAAATCACTCTAGGGACCAGAAGAAAAGCAGATGTACTAGTTATTTGACTTTACGACCTCTAACAGATTTACATTTGCTCATCTGCTTCTAAATTTATTGCAACACTTGCAAAATTAGACAAAAAAATACTAAGCGTAGAAGGTAGTACGACAAGAATATATAAGCAAATTGAGAAAGTCAGAGTCATGTAAACATTCTTCAAGGTACTTTTTTCCACTTTAGAAAAGAAAAAAGTTCTAGTACCCTTAGGTGTTTGCTAGCTTGAATGAATATCACATTCTTTTCTTTCTACGATTAGGTACTAATTGGGGCACTTCCTCTAAGAGTAATAAATGCAAAGATATAACATTCTTCTCCAACTTAAGAAAGGATTTGAAATAGTTGGACAATTATTCTGAGCTATGTAATCTTGAAACTGCAATAAGAAAGTGTAAAAGATAAAAATATCATCAGAGACAAGCCGTACCTCAACTAAGACTCCATCAGAGTTGGCTATACACAATAATTGAGGATACTGAACCAGTAAAAAAATACCATATCCCCCATCGTAGTGAAAAAATACAACTATCAACATGAACCAAACTTTTAGATAAATTAGACACCAAAGCATTCGATCCAAGCGTTGCCTCTCCGCTCAATTAAGCGAAGCATCAGAAGAAAACGTGTAAGAAGATAAACAAAGACACCCCTCCGCACCAGCAACCCCTCTTAATAGGTCAGCTGCCTTACAGCCAGCCAAAATAAAATATGCGGCAGCAATGATTCCTTTAATATAACCCCTGGCTTTGCCCCACAGTAAGCCAAAACTGAAAGTGGCCCAGGGGAAGGGGGAACCAAAGCCCCCACCGGTGAATAAAGAGTGAAAAACGGCCCATTATTACAAACAAGCCGCCCCATTCCCCCAGCCACAAAATCAGCATGCATTTCCCGGAAGCCTACGAATTAAACAGACAGCATCAGCCCACGTTGGCAGCCACCCGGCCCACAGCAGGGCGCCACCACCCGACCACGGGGCCACAGAAGCAAAACCACACGCCCAGGCACCGACGATAAGCCGGGGCACAAACACACGCGCCGGCCGCGCGAAAGGTTAAAAGCGCCCTTTAATTTACCCAAAGGCCCAGGCACGCTTCGATTTTTAAAGAATAAATGCTGGATATCCACGAAAAAGATGCACTTTACTGGAATGAATTGGCGGCCCCATCCCCAGCGGGCCGGCCGGACATGGCGCCCAGCCAACCCCTTCTTAAATTCAGGCGGACACACCGCGGCCGACGCGACCCGCCCCCACGATGCCCTTGCATGTTATAAAGCATTACAGCTGGGGGGATTCGGATACATTTTTACAAATCTTGCCTTGCGTATCAAGCAGCGGAATGCACGCCCAAGGCGAAGAAAATCAAGTATAAGAAAATAAAGTGAGATGTTGAAGAAACAAAGCACAGCCCCGGCATAGGGAGGGATAAAATAGAAATTAAGAGGAGAAGAAACGATAATAAAAAAGGATACTGGGCAACTGGTCCTATGAAATTTAAACTTCTAGATTCTCTCAGATTATAAAGTATATCTTTGAAAAACAAAAGAATTTAAGTAGATTACAGATAGCAGGCGCTTTCTAGTCTTGCGCCAACCCCCTTAAATTACCCCAAATGCTTACTTAGAAGGAAATTTAGTAATACCATTGCATCTTGTAAACTTCCTGGATTTATTGGGAAAACAGATGTGCCAAAGCCACGCCCCCGGTGTAAAATCTTATGCGTTAGATAGGCGCTGACAATATTCAGCCATGGTTTGTCCGCCCGGGTGGCCCCAAAGAGAAGCCTCTGTCGCCCGCCATGGCGACATGTCCCCAGTATCAGTTGGAAAGCTTGCATGGGCCCAGCCTCGCCAGAAGAAGGATACTAATACGTGAAGAAAGGTGGGGGACGCCAGTGTTTACCACAGTAACGATATTTTTTAAAATCTATTCCCATCATACGC